TTGTTATTGCATTTATTTTTTTTCATCATATTCAAAAAAATTAAAGAGTTGACGTTGATAAAATCGATAATTATAAACATGTATTTTGTGAATAATATTATCACCACAAATGCAAGCGGTGGGGGTCACAGTCACTGCTCATGCATAGTTAATTACACTAATTGTCTTTACGTGCCCATTTCGTCTTGCATTTGTTGATGTATTCTTCGTTCACGTTTTCAATTTGCCAAATCAATAAGATAACAACATCTGACTTTGGTGCATTGGAAATCAAATTCACAGCCATAAGTCGTATGATCATGCATGATGCTTAGATCTCGTAGTCGACTCAGGTTAGAGTTCTCTCATTTTTCACATAAGGCAAAACCAAATTTCTAACCATTTGGTTGAGGTTGGTGTCTGCATGATATCACAACTGATCATATCAAATCAAATACAGCCACATATATAATGCAAAATGTGTCGTATTCGATCAAGTTGATTAGTGTCTCGTTTTTGGTAGTGATACCAAGTCACTACTAGCTAGCTAGCATGAATAATTATTCTATGGTAGGCGACTGGGGAGTATTATTTATTCACCATTCACGAAACACTGCATATCTATCGTTTTTTGACCTTAAAAAGTCAATCATGTACATAGTGAGTACCCCATCGTGCAATTTTTTTCAATGTTAGGGATCAGATTAGGAATGGCTTTCGTCCTCAAGAACATTGCGTGTTCAAAAACTATGTTCATCTGTATAATTCATTTATACGAGGTAAAGACGCTTTCCACTTTAAATGAAAACAAACCTAACTTTGAAAACATATGTTCATCAAACTAATCTCAACAATTTTTTTTGCATTTTATTAAAACCGCACAATTGAAATCTAAATTTAACTTAACCAACCATTTTACATTTAAACAAACTACATCAACTTAGATCCAATAAAATAAATTTAAAATTGATTTAAATTAGCTATTGCTATTTTGGAAATAAAATTACTTAACTACCACTACTACTTTAAGAGTTTGTCATATAACTCTGCCTATAAGAATATCCATTCAAAGACAAATAAATTGTTGATGAATGTCCAGTAATTAATAATCTCAACATCGTAAACTAACAGTTTTAAAAGATAAAGATAATAAAGACACAGATTTTATATTACCAATAAAAATCCAATAATACCAAGTGTGAATTCAAAATATTTATATTACTTAATAATTTTTTTTTATAGTATTACAAATTGATCAATATAATTATTGAATTATTTTATATTATTTTCTCATTATATATATATATATATATAATTTTATGTAATTTAAACATTTGTAAATATGTTAACAAAATTTAATATTTTTTATATTTTAAAAATATATTATCCATTCAAAGTAACGAGATACCTAATAATTATATACATTTTAGTCATTTCGTATGTATATTTTATGATTCTTATTTTTTGTTCACCATTCAACAATGTTAATGTGTCTCACTTAGTAAATATTAACTTTTTTTAACGATGTTAAAATAGAAAGGGTTAAAGTGTAATAAACCACTAATATATAAATTAAAATATATAATTTTTTATATATAATTTTTTTTATAAATAAATATTTACTATCTAGATCAAATATACTCCTTTTATATTTCTTTTAAGGTAAATTCTAGAAACTTTGAGTCATCCATTTTTATAAGACACTTTATAATTTTAATGAAGTATTTATTTTATTTTACTGATTTATCCTCCATAAATGAAGTTAATAAAAACTTAAATTAAAATTAAGACGGGTAAAGGTTGAAAGTGGTGTTAAGTTCAATAATATTAAATGAAATTAAATTTGTTGCTCACTTCCTCCTTGAAGAAATAATCTCTTTACCTATATTTTCAAAATAATAGTCATTTCACAATTTTATAATAGAATTTTTTTAATTTTACTTTTAAGATAATTATTATCTTAAAACTTATTTTCTATCTTATTTTTATTCATTTATTGTATAAATAAATTTTAAAATAGATAATAAATTTATAAATTGAGTAGTTTTAGATGATATTATGGACACTTATCATGTTTAAGTGTTTAATTTTTTTATTCAATTCTCCCTAAACTTGAAATCATTACATTTACTTGTTTATTTAAGAAGAATAATTAAAATCTAAGTATTTTGATCTCTTTTTGATATATTTTAAAGGTTGAATCAAAGGAAAAACATCACACGAAGTTGAAAAAATTTGAAGAATCAAACAAAAATATGAAGTCTAAAGGAAAAAAAAACTTTTGATAGTATGTCACCATAACAAAGATTCATTTTTGAATAAAGTGTGGTTCTGTGCTATTTTCGCTAGAACAAGAAATCTCTTGATGTAGAGAAGTAAACAGAGAACTCTGATTTGGACACACTCTCTTATTGTTGCAGCGAAAGACAAATAGAATAACCTAATTTTGACATTTAGTACTTGCGACAACGAAAGTTATGGTATTATAGCGAGAATAACTTTGTCTATACTTGTATAAAGGTAACTTATGCATTTTAGAAAGGTTTCTATTCAAATAAGAGAGTTTGAGAGAGAGATGGCAAAGATCGTAACAGAAGAGTAAGAATACTCATATTTAAGTTTTACAAGTCGTTTTTACTTATTTATTTAATGTTATGCCTGCAATTAGCAGTTAAAACTCTCATAGGATTGATTGTAAATCTTTAAACTTGATGTATTCTTTATAATTCATATATATATATATATATATATATATATATATATATATTTATTCTTCTTCATTTATATTGATTTGGTGATTTCAATATGCATTTATTACTTGAATCTATTTAACCGATAGCTTTTTGAGTTCAAATCTGAGTTATATCTGAAAAAATATTGCTCATATCCATATTTGATTGAGATTACTCAATAATCTATTACTCTAAAAATAGATCTCGAGTTATTGATTACTTTATATTTTATTTTTAATGTTGGATAGTTTGCTAATCGTTCAAGGAATCAACCTTTAAAAAATTATTTTAGAAGTATATTTTTAAAGAATTGGAATATATGAATTTTTTATTTTGTTTCAATATTAATGAAAAATATTGTTACATATATCATTGAATCACTAAAATATAGAGAGAAAGATAGATGAAATCCAATTCTAGATTTTCTAATTTAGTTTTTTACTACTTTTTTAATCATTTTCTTAAATTTTACTTTTTATACAATTTCTATAAAAATTATTGATCAACCTTTTTTGTATATACATTCAATTTAGCTATACTTTAATAATTAACATGATCTAACTTACTCCCTGACAATGATATCCTGATATTTTACCTGTTATTATTGGCAAACAATATAATTCACTTAACGTGCGTTAAGAAAAATTACTAACAATAGGTCTAATAAAAAATTATATAATACTATTTTTTATTAATAAAAACAAGATAACTAAATTAATTTCTTAATTCTTGTGTAACAACTTTAAACAATTATTTTTTAGAAAAAAATAATTATAATATTTTTAAAACAAATTTTTAACTTGTATTTAAGAGCACATGTTAAAGAGAAATTTTTTTTTTGTTAAAAATGAGAATATTTATTACCTTAAAATAATAAAAAAATTAAATACATATTTTTTACAATAATTGAAATTTATTTAATATTTGTTAACAAGTGTCTTTAGACACACATTAAAAAAATTATTTTTAAAATAAAAAATTAACTAACTTTAGTTACTTTCTTTAGTATGTATACTTTAAGTCAACAATGCCCCATAAAAATATATAAAAAAATATTTTAACCTTTAAGATAGTTTTTAGTAAAATTTTCAATACAAATTATTTATACTTTAAATATTAATTATCAAAAGTTCTTTAAAATATATTTTGTTTTCTTCATTTTTAGAGTTGAGTTAAAATATCATAAGTAGTATTTTTAAATTAAAAAAAAGTATTTATTAAATAGAGATATATAAGTGTAATATTTAAAAGCTCATTTAATGAATAGAATAAAATAACTTTAAAACCTTATCATATTTCTAGTGTCCTAGTAATGAACATGATATGTTAAGTCTACTTTAATGTAAATATTAGTTTGTGGAAGATTTATGTTAAAAATAAGTAGGATATACATAACACTCCTTCATTTGTTTTAGGAAAAAGATAATATTTTATTTAATATTCATTATTTGAAATTATTTAATAAAATTCTAATTTTGTAGGCAATGTCAAAATTAGAGGAATTACAATATGTTTTTTTATCATTTTGGTGTGGTCGTGCTTTGTGGAGGGGACTGAGAAGAAGGGGTTCACACTGGTCAAAATGCTTCACATTAGTGGTGGTCGGTATGGCGGTGGACTTTTGCGCAGAGCATGTGGAAGGCCCGCAAGAGCTGCCACCCAATCCACTATCCATTTTGCTACCGCTCCGGGTTTAACGGTCATATTTTTTTAGCCGTTGAGCTCCCATTTTTTAAATATCCTTTCATTCAAATGCTCCCCACTGTCACTGACACCAACTGTCCTTCCAAACACACACATATATAAATACTAAACACAAATCATCATTTTTAAAGTAGTATTAACCAACACTAATCACTTTATCACTACTAGCTAATAATAAACCCTGTCTTGAAACATCTCGAACTAGCGTTTATTTATTCGAGTATGCGTTGGTTTTGCTGCGTTCCATGCGCCACCGTTGTCTCTAACGCCCGTCAATTCTATTTACCGACTTTCATTACTAATTAATTAACTAAATTACTTTGTTTTGTGTATATGAAAATTATGGCACACCATTTTGTTACACGCTAATTTTATTTTGTTAACAAATTAATAATCGATTAATAATCTCACCATTTTGTCACGGCTTTATAATAAAAAGAGACTTTAATGTTTTACTTAACAATATTTCAACGCTTTCCCACACTTGATCGAACGGTCTACATCGCATCACACATAAACGCACACAGATATAACTATAAATACCCTCTTTTCTCTTTCTCTTCCAAAGATGCTTGCACTCCCAAAGCAGTCCCAGTAAGGTACAGGAGAAGAAGGTAAGTTTCTTTCTTAATACACACAAAACACAAACAAAGAAAGAAAAGGGATGAATTATCTTTCAGTGAAAGTGGTTCTAATCTCCACTGGAATTTTATCCATGGCAATGGGGATGAAGCTCACACTCCCTTTGCTCTCGCATTTCTTCCTCAACGAAGCACCGCACGTGTGGACCTTCTTCCTCATGTGCTTCACTCCTCCTTACCTCTACATCCTCCTCAACTTCATCATCCTTACCATCGTCGCTTCCTCCAAGTTCCACAACCCACCACCGGAAAACGCCGTCTACTCCGCCGCCTATGACGGACCACCCGCCGCCGTCCACGTCCCCGCTCCCGAACCGGTCGATATCCCCACCGTGGCACCAACCGACTACAACGCCGTCGTTTCCGATGGATACGTTTACGAAGCGAAATCGACGCTGAGCGACGATTCGGATTCAGTCACCGAAGGTAAAAACTCTGTCAGTTACATTTACGACGAGAACACGCCGGTGAAAGCGAAGGTTGCGAACGACGACGCTGTTTTCTCCCCGAGCTTGCAGAGGAAGGATTCAATAGACTTTCCGTTTTACAATGAGAACGAGAAACCGCCGGTTTCCGCCAGATTCAGTCACCGGAAAGCCGTTAGAGCGAGTCCTGAAGGTATCGTAATCGTAACCATTTTTGTTTAGTTTTATTTATTTATTTAAATTGAAATTAAAAATTAAAAATGACAAAAGAGAAGTGAAAGTTGACACGACTGTGATGGTGATGGTGTAGGAGGGAAAGTGGTTGCGTTGGGAGTGGCGAAGGCGAAGAAACAAGAGACGTTGGAGAGCACGTGGAAGACGATAACGGAGGGGCGAGCGATGCCGTTAACGAGGCACCTGAAGAAGTCGGAGACGTGGGAGTCGCAGCCGCGCCGTAACGCCTCACCGTTGGCGGAGTTGAACGGCACGGCGGTGATGAAGAAGTCGGAGACGTTCGGGGGCAGGGAGAAGAATGCGTCGCCGAGGCTGAGGAAAGAACCGTCACTGAGTCAGGACGAGCTGAATCGGCGAGTGGAAGCGTTCATCAACAAGTTCAACGCGGAGATGAGGTTGCAGAGGCAGGAATCGCTGCGACAGTACAGAGAGATGATGAATCGAGGGGTTCACTGACACTGTGATGCGACTCACACAACGCAATTTGCGGGTACCCTCCGATCCAAATTTGGGGGAAAAGAAAAAGAAACGTTGCCGTTTTGGTTGTTAAATTGAAGTTGAATCAGTTTAAACAGTGTGTGATTAAACAAGGTTTTGTCATGTTTGTTGCATTGATTATTAGGCAAAGAATGATAGTGCATCAATTGGATTCATTAGTTCTTCAATAGTATATGCTTTCAGTGCAATCTTCCGATTGCCGGAGGGGGGAGAGTTATAACTTGTTAACTACTGTTAAGAATGAGATTCAAGCTGTTAAGTGCCTGTGACCCCCACCCCAGCGTTTCCATAATTATACTCAAAACGAGTGATTATTGCGGCATCAGTATAATTTCAACGCAGATTATATTATTTTTATTTTGATATATCTTCATCTTTTGATTAATTAGGTCTTCATATAAGAACCATATTACAATAAGAATTACTGATAAATCATTTAATAAATCAACTACTAGAAATTAATAAGAACTTTAATTTTAAAGGTTTTGCACTTTCGTTCGTTCAAACGGTAAGTCGTTCAAGGATGGCTCGGAGAAAACAAGATACTCATCCTCAGGCGATTCTATTAAAAATAAATAAATAACTTATAAGGTTAATAAAAAGTATTTCTTTGTACTTCTATATAAATAATAGCTGTCACTCTTTTAAAAAATATATAAATTAAAGAGTCATTTTCAATATATTAATTATTAAATATTTTTATATCTTTATTTATTTCAATAAGACTTTATTATTACTTTTGTAAGTAGATATATTTATTTAATGTATAAGTTATTAGTTTGATCATTTATAATAAGTATTTTTAAATATATTACATGTATAACTTTTTTTTGGTCTTTATGAATTTTTTTTATAAAAAACCCAAAAAATATTTATAAATTATAAATTTATAATGTATTTCAATAAGTGTTTTTGTTAATACAAGTTAAAAATAAGACCTTTATTTTTTGAGTTTTCTTAACTTCAACTCTAAGAATTGAAGATAAGTAACTAATACCAGTAAAATTTTATTAGAAAAAATATTAATTATATTTTTATAACTTTAATATAATAATTATGTATTTTTTTATTAAAAAAATTATTTATAAATGTTTAAAGTCAATCCTAAGGATTAAGGTTAATAAAATTTTTATTTTTATATTTAATAAAAAAATAGTAATAGATATTTTTTATAAAAAAAAGAGAAAAAGAATAACTCAAGTGTTATGAGAAAGAGTTAAATTATTTAAAGAAATTTATTAACTTTAAACTTTAAGTTTAAACATTCAAAATTATAAAATTTTTATTAAAAATAAGATATTTATTATATCAAACTTTTAAAAAGTATACCAAATATTTCTTTATCTTATTAAAATTTTAATGTTATTACTTCCTATAATCCTTTAACTAAAGTATAAATTTATATGACACTTAGTTAAAGTATACATAGTTAAAATTTAATTATTTTTTAAAAACTTTTAAAAATTATTATAACGTGACAATTTTATCCTTACTCATTACAATTGTATCTAATTCCACTTTGTTAATTTAATTCAAGTTTTCACCAATTTTATTTATTAAAGATAAAAAAATCGTTTAATAAAATATATTAAGTTTCTCATAAAAGACTATTAAATTTTTAAAAAAGTGACTTATAAAAAGAATAAAAAGAGAAATAACTTAAAATCAACTTTTAAAAATTAAGTTAATATTTTATATTTAAATGATTTAAAATTAATGTGAAATGTAATTTGATAAAATATATTCAAAATATAAAGGAACATTTAAAAAAACTACATCATTTTTAAAAAAAATTTCTATCATAAGAGCTTGCAACAAGCCTTATATTATAAAAAATGTGAAAAAGAAATAAGAGAAGATAGAATTATTCTTAAAATTGAATTCATGTTGATTTTTGATAAATCAATATTTGAGACTAAAAATATTGTATATTTTTTTAAATGATAAAATTTAAGTAGAATACTACAAATACGGTTGATATTATTATTTAATAAGAATTAAAAATTCACTTTGCTAATGTGCGTTTATCTTTGACAGTCACGTATTAATCTTTATTATACAAATTATCAAAATTAAAAAAAATTATAACTAAAAAAATAATACCAATAATATTGACCCTATCTTATCCTTTTTTAAAAATGTTATCTTTATCTTCAAATAATTAAAAATAATATAATTTTATTAAAAGATATTTATTATACTAAAGATATAATAATTTTTTAATAAAATATTATTATCCTTACACTATAGTGTTTAATTTATGTTTTAAAATGTTTAAATTATTATTTGAACAAGTATTTGAAAGCTTACATGTTTTTCAAACTAAGTTTTTGAAGGTGTTAGATTAAGACTTAATTATAATTTTTTATTTGAATTTAATTTTTAATGCATACTTTTTTTTTCAATAATTTGGGTTGAATTTAGTTTTTGAAATTTTTTATTCATTAAAATTTAGTTTTTTTAATCTTTTTTACTACTTATAATATCCAAATTATTATTTTTAACATATAAAATTAAAAATTTAAGATGGAATTGAGATTATATTTAAATTGAAGAAGTCAGAACTAAAAGTAATGTTTTCTAAAAAGAAAAAAAAAAGCTAGAAGATTTCAAATGGTTTAATAAATTTATTTTAGAAAAAATTTAGATGAAAATGAGGATACAATGATTTTAGGGAAAAAAATCCAGTGTAAAAATTAAAACTTTCAAAATTTAAATTCAAACATAATGACCAAAAAAGTTTGAAAATAAAAAAACTTTGTTAAGATCTTTATGTAGTGTCTGGTTGACTGGTTGCATACCAAGTATATATATATAATATTAAAAAAAATTAATGGGAAAAATTTATTCGAAATGACCATAAATTAACAAAGTCAATGTAGTTGGTAAATAGTTGATTATCTTAAGTATGCTTAAAAAAATTTAATTTATAGTAATTAATTAGAAATTACCCTTACAAAAATAATAAAGAAAAAGAATAGTTTGAACCAAAATAGTATGTAATATTTTGTGGCTATGGGGAAGGCAGCGTGTCCGAAAATGAAACATGTCCATCATGCAATGTATGAGACAAGCTCTGTTTAACGATGTTAGGCACAAATGGCCAAGAAGCATATCTGATAACCTCTAAACATTTGCCCCTCTCATTTATTCATCTCTTCAGCGTCACATGGAGGGTGGAAAATTGCACGCAGAAAATTACAAGGTTCGCCTCTTGGCTAGATGAACAAAACACAAACACAAACACAAGCACAAGCTACAACATTCCTCACTTTGCGGGTCATCAAAGAAGCTTCCGCATTATTCTATTATAAAGATGGTAATTCTCTTAGTCAAAATTGTCATCATAATAAACACAACATTATGGATGTACCCGAAAACATATAAATGTGGGCAGTGATGTCATGTCATAGCATTGTGCAATTTCAGAGCCTTTAGCAATGTGATCTTATCTACGTCTGCGGCTTTCCGGTGATACATTACAACATTTTTAGATCAGACATAATCAATTGAATTCATGCATTTATTTCAGCAGTTGGGGACCAGGCTTATGGATGGAATTTGGACTTGGGAATCTCAATCAATTTTTTACCCATTGAAGAAGGAATGAGTCACATACAAGATAGAAAACTTCAGCTGTTCAAAAATAGGAAAAATATTTGTACGTAGTATCTTAACTATTTTTTTACTGTTTTTTAATTATAGTTAAAATTTCATTTCGATAATTAACATAATAAAAGTTAATGTTAAAAATAGATATTAATTTTTAAGATAAAGCTCTAATTTGTTATATACTAAAGTATTTTCTTAACCAACTAATTGTAGCGTTCTTCTAATTTTTGAAATGAATGTATTGAGTTTCGAAGGAAAAATTATCCAGCAAGGAGACTAACACAACAATGTAGCCACTTTCATGTAGATCTCTTCTAACAAAATAGAATCGTGTTTGAAATAATTCTTGGCATGCAATAATATTATTTGAATTCTTAGTAAATATTCTTCTTTCGAGGGAATCACGCATCCAAAGAGGACCAGTAGATATTTTTCAACATTTTCTTCCTTAAGTTCTCGTATCGTTATACCCATATATCTCACAACATTATGTCATATCATACGAATTTTAATGAATCAGAAAGGACACATAATTTTTGCTGCTGCAATTGATGATAATGACATCTGCAGATTGCTATGAAAGAATGCTTTTCTTTAAAAAAAAAAAAAAAAAACATTGCTATGCAAGAATACATTGAACACGTATGCAAATAATTTCAAAACAATTTGTTTCATTTTCAATTGCAATGGTTAACATAAAGAAAGTAAACATAATTATGTAAAAAACAGTAAACTTCTCATGCAAATACCAATTGAAACTTGCTTTTTTCTTTCTTAGTTTCTAAAATCCAATCCTATATAGATGTGAGCTTACTAGGAGTCTAGGAGCACATCTACCATACAAAAACAAAAAGGTGTTTTATTCATATCTGAATAAGATATTTCTTTGCACAAACCTCGCAACAAACACCTCCACTATCCATTATAACAATATCCTTGTCTGAGACAATGCAACATCTGAGAAACCAAGTCAATAGTACTTGTGTTAATGTCAAGATTGGAAATTAAGACAGCACGGATTGTAGGCAATTAAGTATATTAAATAAGAGATAATACTGCGAATTCCCTCCAAGAAATAAACATTAATAAACAAAAACTTCCAACCTTACCTTCTTGCAAGATACACAATCTCTCCATCCATCAGATTCCAAGTGAAATGTCTTACAAAATGTTCCATTTTGATACACAAAACTACATGTTCAGAGATCAAGCTGGTTATATGAGGAAAAAATAGAGATCAATTAAAGCAGAAGATATTTAAATTAAGAAACTAAGAATAAGTATGAAATAAGAAAAATATTTTAGATAAAACAAAACCATAACCGTTAGCAACTTGTTCAATTGTTTCTAAATCCAACTTAAAGCTTCTTATGGTTGTAATGCAAGAGCAAACACAAAGAAATGCTTCCTAACACAATGTCATTGTATAAATTTACCTTCGGAAATACAAGTAAATGATTATGCTGATACTGATAAGCCGCACAAAGTGCTGATGAAAAATATATTGGTAACGAAAGATCAAATAAGTTTTAATTTAATTTAATTTTTGTTAACCACTCATTAAAAGGTAAACTGCTTTTACTGTAATTTTTTTAATACACTTCTAATGACTAAAAATTATTAAAAATTACAAAAATTTTGTGACTCTTACTCTTTATCACTCTTAAATTAATATATTTTTTTTTCGTAACTTTATAGTTTTTAATAAATAATTAATATTGTTCTACAAAAGCATTAGAAAATATATTACTAATATTTATCGTATTTTTACGAAAGCTTTGAAATAGCAATAATGTATTAATCAACAGTATAATAGCAAGTGCCTCTAAAGAATGAGTTAACAAATTATTTTTAATTTTTTATTAAAAATATATTGTAATACATTAAAAAGTACACGAGGTTGCAATAATAATGTTTTTAATAAAATAATTTTCATTTTTTATTTCATAACTAGTTCTTAATTAATATTTACCTTATAAAATTTTAATTCTTTAATTAATATCTTAAAAACATTTATTAAAGTTTACTTTACAACAACGTAACAATAACTATTCATAAACACAATTCATTGATAATTGTGAGTATCTAATAAATTTGAATAGAACTATCAATCCTCCGTAACACTATTTGAATAATGAATACAAGCTCCTTTCAAGTTGCAGGTAATCCTATAAAAGAATAGACTTTTTTTAGCACATAAAGAGAGAAACACCCTAAAAACAATAATCAAGGGAGATACTTTAATATCAACCAATAAAAAGAAGCATGTTTGGCTTCTTCTTTTTTTTTATGAAAGATAGAATAAAGAAAAAAAATATAAAAAATATAATAATAAATAAATAATATGTTATTTTGATGAATAAAAATAAGATAAAAAAGAAATAAAAAACTTCTCTACTTATTTAGATCAACAAACAAATATATTATATAAAATGTAGTTTTAGTAATAAAAATGTTATTTAATAGAAATTATTTTAATATAACATTTTTTTAAAAGATTTCTTAGTATCAAAATAAACTAATATAAAAAGGAACGAAAGAAAACCTATGTTCCCACCTACTTTATTTTTTATCCTCTTTTTTTTTTTTTTTCATCTCTCATCCAAACATACTCCAGAGAATAGGATATCCAAATAAGTAAAAAACAATTTTTATATAAAATCATTATAAATCCAAATACTATAACTAAAAAATAAAATTATGATCCACAGGTAGTCAGGTAGCAATGAAAATAAGTCAAATTACTCATGAGAGTCTAAACTTACCCTATGTCAAATCTAGGTCAAATCACACTTATTTACTAAATAGTTTAAGTCAATGTTTTTTTTAATAATCCATTTAATTAAAAAGACCAGATTTTGAATTACACAAAAAAAATCTTAATTTTAATAAACTGACCAATTTAAAGAACAAAAATAACAATAATATTAAAAAAATATTTAAAATTTATATGTGTGTTTTATTTGAAAGCTTAAATTTATTAATTTATATATAAATTTAAACTCATTAACCTATTTAGAGATGATTTTTTAACATATTTAAAATATTTTAATATAAAATATGCTTCCAGTCAAGTCAATCCTTAAGAAAAATGTTTAATAACTGACAAATAGGTCAGATTTTAGGAAGCTTACTTTGACTCAACTTATTTTTCACTTCCTCTGTTAACAAGAGTTATATATATAATTTGTCTCATAAATATGTCAAAAATATAAATAATTTATGAATAAAATTATTAATATCTTGTCATAAAGAAAATAAAATCATTAATAAATCTAGAATAAAATCTACATTTGTTAAACAAACACAAAAAAATTGAAAATTAGAATATAATGACTAAAATGTATCTTTTAATCTTTCAAATTTTAAGCATTAATTACTTTACTCATTGATTTTATAATAAAAAAGGGTTGGTTTTAAATTTTTTAAAAGTAAACTATTTAGAATTTTCTTCTATTTATTTTTTATTTTCATTTTTATTAAAAACTGAAATAAATATTTTTTAAAACTCAAAATTTAAAGTGAATTTTTAAAAATTATAATTATAATTTAAACGAATAAAATGTGTATTTACTCAAATAAAAAATTTATAAAAATTTAACTCATATAACTCATATATATAAAATCCAAAGTTAATTAAAAGATTTTCACTTGAAAATAATTAAATCCGAGAGAGAGAAGAGGAGTGATAGAAACTCACCCGCAATAGTGACAGAGCTGAGATAAACAACCACTGCGAGCTGCCATCCGTCTATGAAGGTTGTTGTCTTTGACTTGCAGTTAAAGCAACAGAGCTTCTTGTTGTTGCTACCTTTCGACGACGACGAAGAAGAAGAAGAACCACCAACAGCAGCCATTGAAGCTCCACACAATACTAAGACTGAACCAAATGAAATGTAAGAAATGCAACAAAAGCGTTTCTCAAAGGTTAGACAATATAGGAGCATATAATAAAGCTCTATCAATATATATTTAATAAAAATATTAATAATATATTATTTGATACACGTTTATTGATGAGTAAAATTAATACAAGGTTGATTAAATTATGTGAGCGCTCAATTTAGTAATTTAATTCGCATGACATTTTTAATAATCAAGTGTTAGAATATATTGTTGGCATTTAAAATTGTCTTTTTCTTTTTTACATAAAATGGTCAAAATAAACAAAAAATGTCTACATAAGTTGTTTAAGAATTTAAAGATTTTTTACTTATGTTAAATTAATTAGATATAAAATGCGGAAAACAACACTTTTTTTTTTGTAAGGAAAACAACAATTTTAAGTGAACGTCTTAAAAGTGTATATGTTTCACCAGAGTCTACCTTTATATATAAGAAGAGAATTTTAATTTTAAAGGAAAGTTTTAACAAACGTACTTTTAATAGTTAATTCTCTTTTTTATTTGACTTCTCTTATATTGAATATTTAATTTTTTTTATTCAACTAGTGAGTTTCTCATGAATTAGGCATGTATGATTAAATTAACATAATTTTTAATAAAAATAATATTCACAATAATTATTTTGAAAATATTTATATTAATAATAATAAATATTTTATCAAACTTTATGCATAAATTATGAATACTAATTCTTAAATAAGAATATTTAAAAAAAAACTTTTAAGAAGTATTCTCAAATAATGCATATTCTTAAGTATTATGCACTTATTTTTAATTTAATATTATTTTAATGTTCTATAATTTATTTTTAATTTTATTTAATATAATATCATTTTTATTATTAAAAATTATAATACTTAATATTTTTTAAGTTTAAAAATTATTAAATTTTAGTTATTTATTAAAATTTATTTAATTTAATGATACCTAACCAATGCACGAAAAAATTCTTAGTTATATTAAATAAAACTAAATTAAAGATTGAGGTTTTTAAAATTATGATATAAATTACAGATAATTTACAATTAAATTAATATTGAGTTAAAAAAAATACTAAATGCTAAACTCTGTAGAAGCCACATAACAAAACTATGAAGGAAATAACTTTATCATATTTTCATTTAAAGCTGTTCCTAAAAACACTATCTTTTATTGATAGTAACTCACATTAATATATAGATGCATATCTTAATTTAAATTTTAAAGTTTTCATATTTTTGGTTAATTTTAAAAATTTTATCTTCTTAATTTAGTCTTCTTTAATATAACAAAATTATTATTATTATTAATTAATTTTTGAAATTTATAAAATTTATTAAATATTTTAATAGTCATATCTTAATTTTTTATTTAAAAATTATTTTTAATTTAACAAGACACCAAAGAAAAAGACAAATTATAAAGTTCTAAAATAAAAGTAATTTATTTTATAAAATTTCTTCATAAAATAAGAAGAAAATTGATTAGATAATCTGGTTGAGAGTTTTAGGTTCAAATTAAAAATTACAGCATCAAGATTTAAATAAAAGATAATTCTATTTTTTTTTTGACAAACTAATTTGATTAATTCAAGTTTGTTGTTGTGGTTTGTTTAAAATTATTTTTCTAAAATAAATTTTAAAACAATATTAAAAAACTATAAAAAAAATATTTTCTCAAAATAAACTAGTCTAAACACATCCATTATGTCTGCCTATCCCAGTTTAACCACTGAAAATTTGGCAATGCTGTTTGTTTGTTTTACACAACTTGCTTGATTTAACTATTTCTCTTATTCTTTGCCAACTTTATTTGAATAACAATTAAATTAAGCTCTTATGTAACAAGATTTCATTGTATAAAATTCTTAGCATAAAATTGATTATAATTTTTTAACGTAAGGTAAAAAAATTATTAAAATATATTTAAATAAAACTTATGAAAATTATAAATTATTTTCAGTTTTCTTGGACAATATGATCCTGTAATCAGGAGTGGGGTTATATAACTTTATCCATGGTTGTTATTAGGTTGAGAACCGAAACAGCTATGATTTTTCCTTTTAATATCATTAAGACAATAGAACGAAAATACATAAATCATAATAACTATAAGGATGCAACAAAAGAAAGGAACTTCATTCTTAAAAAAACACTTAGCCTAACAAATAATTGGATTAGGCTAATTAAATGACAAAAGGCGTATATTTAATTCTTGCAAGATAAGCATTAAATTTTTCCAAGTGATAAAATGAGGAATCCAGCTATTCATTCATAGAATGTTTTGGCAGATTGAACCCTACTTTTTTTGCTTTCATTCTTCAACACTCTCTCAGCAGACTTCTCATTTGTGGACACAGCTTTTGCCATTGCCTTTATCTTTCGGACATTTTTTGATCTCTTCATAGGCCTTCCTTTTTGCTTTATCTTTCTATTTCACAAGAGGTCAATAATTAAAGGTAGTAGTTTAGAACAAGTATATTTAAAAGAGCAAGCACATCTATTTCAGAAAGTAAATAGTATTGCATTCTTAATGGTCAGGGTGATTTTAACAACAGTTAGGGGCTAACAGGTGACAGATCAGAGAGATTTAAACCATTTTTTATTTTGCAAATAAATGAAAATATGAAGCAGGTGAAAGTTTTTCACCTTCACTTCATACTTAAGGTGTCAAAAAGTTAAACAAACTTTAAAGGGATAAAACTCTTTTATTGACTCGAGATCCTGTGTTCATTACTTGAAGGACATTGGTAATAATTAACACATGAACCATGTCAAAACAGAAGAGCTAAACAAAGCAGAAGTATCACACAAAGGGGAATTCTAATAAGTGTTTTTAAGACACTGAACAAGGAAATTAAAATATAAAGAAGTTAATTAAACAAAACATTTATTATACTTAAAACATAAAAAAGCATTTAATAGAACACACAAATGCTCCTTAACCACTGTACTCAGAATAGTCATTAGCAAGACCCTTAGAAAATATCATTCTACAGGTCATTCAGCAGTATACACAAAATCCATCAACCCAGCAAACAGAAATGAAGTTTAGAACTTAACCATGTTTTATCAAACAAAGCATTGGAAGCTTTGACCACATATTGTCCATTAGTAAATGATACGTTTTCTAATAATTAAAGGGGGAGGCAGCACATGTTGGCTTAAATGCCTCTCTAAAAAGATTAAAGAAGAGAAAAACTCAAAAACCTTTTAGTACATGACAAACGAGTACATGTGCAAGAAGGAAACTGCAGTGTATGCAATGCTAGAAATGACCAGAAACACAATTTGACTTGTTGAAGTCCACCAAACCTTATCAATGATAACATGTTCAGAAAGAAAATGAAGTAAGACCCTTTAGAACTGACGAGTATTACACTCTGACAAGCCTAACCTATTTCCCCCCATTAACTCATTGTAAAAGCATGTACCTTGTCTGAGATGAGAGAAAATGTAATTAAAAAAAATCCAGTGTGCTGTGATAGTAGAAGAAATGAGGGAAAATAGGAAGGGAAGTTGCTACTGAGACCTCTAAATCCTACTCTCGGCTCTCTCCATAAATGAAGACAAAAAAGTGATATTGTCAATTCATTACCTTTTCATTTTACAAGTAGCCAATGATTTTGTTCCAATATTTTGAAATTTTTCATATAAAAAATAGTCTATTACTACTAATTAAAAACACAAACAAAGGTCTGACTTTCTTGGGATAATAAGCAACTAATCAAGTCAATACTGATTGAAAGCTGATAACATTTCAACCTAGGCCATTTCACTTTGTAAACACTCTCTCAACTTTGGAAACAAATAGACACCTCACCTCCTAAGTAATTTGGTCAGATTAGATTTTTGTGACATCCACATTCCATAGTGTTGGGATTATAAATTTTCCATCTTTCAAAAAATAGGTTTTTAACCCATCGATTGCATCCAGAGCTATTTATCATTGCCTTCCTTTACAAAATGATCATGTGTAAACTTCTTAATTAATCCTCAAGATTGCACAAAGCATATATTTCAGTCCTTGAAATTTTAAAGACCCTTTGTTAGTCCTTGGTTGCTGAGTTTACAAAAAGTCATTGTTAGCCCCTTTTCACTTTATTTTTCACTGTCTTTTTGAACTCAAAAAAATTAAAGTGAATTGCATTTTTACAAAGTCAAGGACAAGAACTAATGAGTTGTTAAAACCATAGGAACTAACTTGTCCAATCCGTACAATTTGAAGGACTAATTTAGGGATTTACTGACATTATAATGTATAATAATGAACTGAATTTGAATTTATAATCCTAAAAACAGGGCCAATATCAATAAAGCTACACCTTATAGTGCACCAAGGGGCAAAGGGATGTTTGCAGAATACACTTTTCCAAGAACTTTGACCAAGTAATTGAAAGAAACAATACAAACTAACAATCAGCACAAAAAGAACATTTTAAGATGACGTTTCTTTGCCCATGTAAAACAAAATTGTTTACCATCAAGATATTAACTAAATCCCAAAATTGCAGCAGCATCATTACCAGTAGTAGAAACGGTAGTATCATATTGTGCACAGTCAATTGCAGAAAAGGAAGATGGGGGGGGGGGGGGCGAAGATCACAATGTTCAGTTCACCAGTTACATACAAATTTAGTGTTCCATAAAGACACACAATAATCAGTTGTGCAATGTTTTAAATCATGAAAGCAACATTGTTGTTTGTGAGGTTTCCATAACCACGTCACAACCACAATTGCTGCCACTATTTTGACAATCCCAACACAAGAACAACCATAATTTAAAATCATGCAATTGAGTGAATGAGAGTATAGGGATAGCAACATTCATGGACTATGTTGCACCAAGCTTGTTATGAGATGTGTTAATTGTACTGATTCGGGGAAATGTTAGCAACAGTGACATGGTCCCAATGATACCAAAGCACTGAAAATGAAGAACATATAGGCAGTACAGTAAAATCCAGTGTGAGTATTTTGTTACTTACAATTTGGTAGCACTAGAAACCGTGTTTTGAACTCCTGACTCTGATGTATCCATTGCTGTAAGTGAACAAATTTCCATTTTAAACAACACCAGGAAAGTAGAAACCAAAATTTTGCAGAAAAAAGTTAAAATTAAAACAAAACAAGGGTTTAAGTCAGTGGAAGATTAAAGAATTGAAATAAACGATATTTCGATTGCTGATTTCAACCAAAAACACAAAAAGGAAAGGGGGACTGTGAAGCAAGTACCCTGAGGCAGTCCCGAAACGGATGGGTTGGTGGTGTCCATTGAAACGACACCGTTTCTCTTCTTCTTGTTCCTGTTTTTGGCCATAGAGGAGGCGACGACGAAGCAGCAGAAAGTACAGTTGCTGTTTGTTTGCGCGTTCGTTTTATTCTTTTACACAAACCCCAAATTTTTGTTTACCTTGACTCAGTTTAAATATTCAGAAGTAATATTTTTTATTAAAAATTAAAATATTTATTATATTTTTATATTTATATTTTTAATAAAATATTAGTATATTTTACTATTATAAAATTTATATATTCAAAATTAATTGAAAAAAGTAATTTAATAAAATTATAAAATCAATTTAGTTTAAATTACACTAACCGTCATTCAAATTAGTTACACTTAACTACCTTAAAAAATTAATAATTTGGAAATTTTCTTTAAAAAAATAGAAGTGAAAATATGTTCGATTTTTTTTTTCTTTAGGTATGATTTAAATCATTATTATTTATTAAATATTAATAATTTTTTTCAAAAATATATAGTGAAAAATAAATTATGAATTATTTTTAAAAAAACTTGTTTAATAGATTAATGTATTTAAACAATTATACACATACACGAAAAAAAGTTATATCAAAGCACATGGGCCATGATTCTACGGCCAGTACAATTGGTGAGAGTGGAAGAGGGGATTGAGATCAGCCCACTTCAGTGACTGCACTGCCCTATTGCGAGGATTGGGCTTTTACCACCTAGGGCCCATTTTGTTTCTTCTGCATTTGTAACATTTTATTATCTATGTAACAAAAACAAAATAAAACACTTTATTTTATTATCTACCAGAAAAACACGACCAACTTATTTCAACCTAACAATCAAAGTCTTACCAATCACTCAAACAGCGTCTAGGTTTGTTTTCTATTTTTAAAAGAGTTTTTAATTTTTTTTTCTAAATATAGTATAAATAAAACATATCCTAAATATTTTTTATTCGATTTTGAGATTTCAATTTTAGTTTTAAATTTTTTTAGTCCTAATCTTTTAAGAATTCAACATTTTATCTCTAATGATAACTTAACTGCTTAAGAATTTTTTTTTTTTATATATTATGTGTTTATATTTTATTATACTATGTTGGTGGGAGAGATTAAACGTGCTTAATTTAAAAAATTAAGGACATCAATTTTTTATTTTGAGAAATTAAAATATAAAAATTAAAAATATATAAAGTTAAAAAAAAACAGCTTATAGAGAAAGAAATAACTCAATTGCAACAGATCCATCCTATCTGAATTTAAAGTTTTACTAGTCCTAAAAAAAATTTGCTACGGTCAAATAAAACTCTAATATTCTAATTATTAGCTTGTATACACATAATTTATCTTTTTGGATCCGGTTAAAAATTGAAAAACATTATTCATATTAGAATCTAAAATATATAAAAAAGCCCATTCTTTAAAAGCACGTTGAACTTCTTACCTGGAAATCTTATAGATGATACAACAATATGTTCAATCACACGCATCTTCACTGCTACGCCAACCATGTACGAGTTTTTCCAGTCCAAACAAATAGTAAAGACAAGGAAAATAAAAGTTAACGGAAACGAATTATCTCATTACGAGACAATACGTACACGAATTTTCACTTGTCAGAATTTTGTGCAATGATGAAGGCATCTCACTGTCTCAACCAGCGATCTTTTAAATTAGTTTCTAAAATTATAAATATTAATTAATTTAATCATGTTAAAAGTTATCATTAAAATTGTTTTTAAATAGACTAAAATAATATTTGTTTGATCTCTTCAGAATCTTAAAAGACTAAATTGAATAATTGTTGTAACTTTAGAGACTAAGTTGATGAGCTATTCCAATCTCAACACATGACAAGGTGTTCTTTGTCATATATATAATATAACATATAGTAAAAGAAAAGGCAAATTAATATGGGCTAAAGGAGCAGGAAAGTAGAAATGGCCTAATAATCATTCACAAATGTGTGTAACGGGGAATGGATATAATTGAAAATTTAGAAGTAGTGCGTGACGGATGATTGTCTCCCTTTGGGTGGGTTGAAAAATTATGGCTAATGCTAAGTTTTCATCCATTTGGAGACTCAAATTCACGAAACAAGTCTTCTCACAGTGATGATTCCAAACCAAGGGCACATTCTCATTGGCTGTGCTTGCCATTCTTTTTGTTAATAGTGCGTGGCACTATGTTATTAACCATGCTATAATAGAAATATTACACCTCTCAATTGATGCCACTCAAGAATTATCATACAAGCAATCATTCTTGATTTTTATAATAATTAATACAAAAATTAAATTGATTAATAATATAATTTTTTTATAGTAATTGTGTACTAAAATTAAACTATATATAGTTATAAAAATGATAATACTTAATAAAATATTATAAAAATTAAATTTTAGAAAGATTGTTGTAACTTAAAAATTTAAAATATTTTAGAGTATCATATTGGGTAAGTATGATAATAAAAAAGTAAGTAATGAAATTAATGATTGAATAATTAATTTAATGTGATTAAAGTATTAAAATGAGATATTAAAAAATGTCATCTATTTGACCCAAAAACTGTGTTAAGACTATCTTACTTTTATAACTCTTAGAATAAAATAAATGTAAAAAAATATAATTTTAGAAATACTGTAACTTAAAAAAAATTAAAGTATAATATTCGATGACTATAATAATTTAAAACTAATTAATGCAACTACTTATAAAAAAAAAACCGTAAAATAATCATAATTTTAGAAAGATTATAACAACCTAAAAATTAAGAAATTTCAAATTTTAATATTGGATAATCATAATAACTAAAAAAATCAATGAAATTAATGATTGAATAAGTAATTTATTATTATTAAAATATAGATTATAAAATACCCTCAATTTGAGTAGAATAAAAGTTCACCTTAAAATAAAATATCTAAATATGTCATAAAAACAAGGATTGGTTAGACATGGTTAATGATACCAAAAAAAAAAGTCTTACAAATTCGTATATAATTAAAATGACAATAAAAAAAATTCAAAATTAAGCCCATTCTACATTTCACTTGTTTTTATCTCTTGTCTCTGGTATTTATAAAACACTTCTACAAAATTGATATAGAAATATAACTTATTGTAGGAAAAAGAGAGGGGCTGGTGAATGTGGATGTTTTGCAGAAGATGCATGGTTGATATAAGGTGATAATGAATGATGATGGAGAGTGAACATAGTACTTGGAGTGGTAATTAAGGACTAAAGAGGGTCCATTGTACGTGGTGTGTTGGTGCATATTGCATAACATTGTGTACATAAAAACCTGCTCTTGTGTTTTGCTCAAATGTGTTGGGGGAACAAAGCAGCTTTTGGGTCATGGAATGAGAAACCGTTGCAGCTTTGCTCCAGAAAACACGTCAAAAAGCAAGCACCAGCCTCTTAGAATTTTAGCTTATTTGTTACCCCTATTGGGAACCCATTCTTTTCTTCTTCTTCTTCTTTACAATATACAATTACAAAAAAATGAAAATGAAAATTTTAAATCTGTAATTAAAAAAATTTATAAATCATTATAAATAAGGAAATTAATACACCGCTTGAAATATTAAAATTACTAAAAGGCCCTAACGTAGCATTTGCCGAAGGCCTCAAATCTTGAGTTAGACTAAATTAGCTGAACACTGACAACAGAACCATTTTACATTATTTGAATGAGGTTCTTCCTATTAAATCTCTTCAATGAAATTTGTGCTCTTGAAAAATGTAACATGACATCATAGTCCACGAGTTTCTTTAATAGAGACTTGCAAAGAGCATGAAGTAGCCGTGTCACCATGGGCAACAAAAACTAATGGAAAAATGCATCCATTGGATAAAGTGATTTGATAAGAAATTGCTTTTTTTTTTAATAAACATAACATTCATTTATCAAAGCTCTAAGAAAATACGATTATCCGGAATATGAATATCAAGTAAACAATAATTAACAGGTCTTGGCAGCTGGTGGGCAGCTACATAGTGCGACATTGGGTGTCATTGGATTATCAATTTGAGGCATAAAATGAAAGGCAGTGTTAAACGGGAAAAGAACAAACATTAGGTCCATAGTGAGCAGAGGGAATTCGTTATGGTTGCTGGTTGAGAGCCACATGAAATGAAGTGAAACAAATTAAAGAAGAGTAAAGGAACATGAACAGAGCTATTGCATAGACTGCATCGTCTTCTTCTGACTTGTATCAATTGAATTTAATTGATTAGTGGGGTGTGGTGCCCATTGCTTTATTGATTCTATAAATCCTCTCTATCTGCCACTCACTCAAATTTCTGATCAGCGGGCCATGTTATCTTTTGCATGCAAATAATTTTTTATATTTTTTTCTTAAATTATCAATTATTTCAGTTTATTCTAATAAATTATGTTATCAAATTAAATATATTAATAAGTACTTAATTAAATAAATTTAGAGTATTTTATCCTTAAAAAATATTTTAGAGAATGATTATGTACCAATCACTTTTTATTGCATAAATTAATACTTTTTTTTCTTTTATTGCGTAAATTTATACTTTTTAAATATCACATGTCTAAATTTTTTAGCCTCTCTGTATTCAAGAATACGGGAGAGAGAGTTTAAAATTTGAATAACCTAATAATCTAAAAGGTCTTTATAATTTTGACTTATAGTATCTTTCTTACATGCTCTTTAATTAATTGCTAACTTAACCAGTTTCCCTGCAAGATTTGTTGTAAAAATATATATACATAATTCTACTTAAACATCAGAGGACACGACTTCCAACTAATAAGGAGAACAATTTATAAACAACTTATAATGATTTATTATTTTATAAAAGTTAAATTTATTTTAATACATTTTAAGTATAATTTATTAAAATAGTTTTTGAACTTAATTTATAATCATTTACAAATTAAATTTATAAATAAACCATTATATAAAAATCATTAAATAAATATCTAATCAAGTTGTGTTTTAAAAAAAATTCTAAATTTAAATTAGACCATCTCTTCAGCTGTAAGTACTTTAAATAAATAATAAATGATATAACATAATAAAAAATAAAATAAAAATATTGTGTAAATATACAAAATATTATCGTTGATTTAACAAAATTTGTCCAATCTACACTCCCATTTATTGACCACAAAATAAATGATGAAATCAGTTGATAACCATCTATTTGAATTAGTGATTTGACAAAAATGATCACAACTTGTGATTACCTAACCACTTGAATTGAATTTTTTTTAATATATATTCATTTATATCATCAATCAAATCTAGATATCTATATTATTTAATATTTTTTATAAAATATAAAGTTAACAACTATTATTAAATATTATAAAAAATATTATTTAATAAATTAAATTTACAAAATATTATAAAATAAAATAAATAAATATTTTATCGTATTATTTTATTTTAATAAATAATATATTTTTTAAATATAAAATTTGATATACATAAATATAAAATAATTATAAGTATATATAATAATGATTTCCAGGAGCCAGTTCTGGTTTATATTTTAGCATGCAGTGTCTGATCACTTTTTGCCTTAAAAGGAACAATAAGGCATGCTTACCCGCTGTCTACGAATCGGTGTACGATTATACTCCACCTAATTATATAAAGTTGTACCAAATTTTATATTTGTCCTTTTCCGTTTCTAAAGAAAATAATAAAAATCAATAAGCATTCCACAATGGAAAAGGCTTTTCCTTAAAAAATTTCCATTTATTAATATTTTAATATAAATTTTATTTTATTAATATATTTTTTAATAAAAATTAAATTATTAATATAAACATTATAGGTTTATATTAATATTATGATATAATATATAATAAATAATTTATTAGTAAAAATATTTATATATACTGTCAATACATCCAATACTAACATACTAATATACATTATTTGTTAGTATAAAATTATAAAATATATATTAATAATATAACTATTATTAAATAGAGTGAATATTTATTTTAATATCTTCAATTATAAATATTAACTACTTTAATTCTTGATTTTAAAATATGATTTTAGTTTTTAATTTTATAAATCATTTATTTTTTATTTTTATGCATTATTATTATTCTTTTGTATAGAAAAAAATAAATATTATTTTATAAATTTGAGATTAAAATACGATTTTTATAAGGTCAATAACTGGAATAATCGAACTTATAATTTAAAAGATTAAAATCAAAACTTACTTTTAAATGAATATTATACTAAAGAAAATGATCTAAATACTTGACTATTACCGTCAGTTAATTAGCTTCAAACGTAATACTTAGTGCATGGCATGAGCGCAAAGGACAGGAAAATCAAATTGATAGATTGAGAAAATTGGTTATAATTAGACCTGTACTTTGACTTATATATGAGATAAAGTATAACTAATACTTATCTAATCATAATCTCTAATCAAGTCCCAACTATTTATGATATCCTTGCAGGTTGAAAGATACATATTAACATTTGAAGATTAAGATTAATTATAGAGTATAATTAAAACTAAACTACTTTAAATTCTCCATATATTTTAACGTAATTGTATTTCGGGTCACGTAGAATTGTTTCTATTAAATGTACAAAATTAAATAAATTTGTGTAATTATACATTTAAAAATAGATATATTAATACTATTTAAACAACATAACTCCCTAATATTTTAAAAACAAAATAAAGTTAATTTATACATTCGTACATCTAATAAAAACTCACACTAATTATTCAAAACTCCCTCTAACATATGTCAACATCAGCAATGAACTTTGACTTGCAATTTTTTGAACAAGAATATATATATAATGAAGAAAGAAATGTGTTATCCTTCTCTATGAGGTGTCAAGTGAGGTTCATAATTTAAGGTGGCCCTCAAGGGAATTTAAAAAACGTTGGTAGACAAGAGCTATTTCAAATTAGTAGTGTCGTTATTTAGCTCAATCTTATCCTTTATATCCGTTTAAAGTTGTTCTTATGTTCCAAATCATAAATCCGTTAACTATTTTGGCCCTTGGGATTATTTAATGCAAGTGGGAGTACTATTTTCTTTCCAATTATTACAATACAATGCCACAAATATCCCCACGCCTAAGCGTTAATTGCTGCCTTGTCTTTTTCTTGATCTTAACATTAATGTAATTATTCGTACACGATCGCAGAGATTTATGAGGATGCAAATAAAATTGCTAACTCTTTATTAAACATGCAATTTCCTATCCATTGTGGCAAGGGATATACGACGACATAGATGATTGATTTTGGTTTGCCTCACTTGGCGTCAAAGCAGAAATCATTGTAGGTTGGAGAGTAAGGACTAAGGAAGTAACATGCTAACATTAGCGTATATGAATCAAATTTAATATTGTTATTTATTTTTGCCACAAATATTTATTTGTATTCATTTTTAAGGTTCTGAGTTTTAAGAATTATTTCCCTGTACATCCAGAGTACGAAAAAAATTTCTCCTAACCAAAGTCAGTTCGTATTGTTTAAAGTTAACAATGTTAATTTTCATGTTAACTGTGGTTTAATAATTCGTTTATTTATATGAAAAATAACATTAATATATGGATAACCTCAATCTAAGTTTTGCAATTTAGGCATACAAAATGATTATTGAAATATAAATTCTACGAGACTAATCATGCACACACAAAATAGTGAAAAATAACCATACAAATAAGAGGAAATTAATTATAAAAAAAATGAAAATGAGCAAAAAAGAAATATAAAAAAGAAAAATCGTATAAAGGAGTGAAAAATACTTGAAAAATAAAAAATAATAAAAAATGAATAATTCTAAATATTCTTAAATTTTATTTAATGTCTTTAAATATTTCTAATTACTAAATAAATAAAATATTAAATATTTTATATGTTATCAATATAATCCATACATGCAATTTTTTATTTAATACTTACCGTATGAGATAATCAGAGAATTGTGAAGAAAATAGTAAAACATTATATTATTTCATTAATGTATGAATAATAATAATAATAATGTATTGCATTTTTTCTTATATGTTCAAAGAAAAAAAAAAGTACTTTGACTGAAAAATTAATAATTTCCCTATAATTGTTTAATAACCTTCCTAGTTTATCTTTTATTAATAAGTGTATTTTTGACTTGTAGGCTAATAAACTAGTGTATGTATTATATTGATTATAAATAAAAAATTTATATAGATAACAGTCTTTTTTAAATATTAATTAATATAATTTTTTTTTGTATAAATAAACAATTAAAAAGATTCTTAAAAATGACAAATGAAAATGAAGATAGTATAATACATGAAGTGATATTTTAAAAATTTTGATGAAAAACATAGAAAATATCTCTAATTATAATACAAGAGGATGAGTTTTTTGGTTTATTTCTAAAAATTTATCTCACAAAATTATAAAAAAAAATTATTATTTTTTAAAACAAGTTAAACTAAACATATATTAAAGATATATTTGGATACATAATTTAATTGAGTATTTTTTTTTTCAAAAAACTTTTTAATACCGATACTTATGTAATGAATTTGACGAAAGTTAGTGAAATACACTTAAAAAAAAAATTCATGTGAACCATAACCTATTTTTATAAATTATTTAAAAACTCTTTCAAACACTCTTACATAACTCTCTTAACAAGTGCATTTATTTTATATTAATTAATACAAATATTTTTTTAATATTTATCCAAAACACATAAAAAAAATATATTAAACAATAAAATATTTAATGTTATTAATTATTAATACATAGTATTTAATGATATAATGTATTTTCAATAAATATTTATATTTGTAGATTTTTATCGTACATCATTAAACACAAACGTTGAAAAATTGCAAGTAAATTATTGAATGAAATATGCTTTAATATATAAATAATTAATTAATTGTTTTTAGATAATGAAAAAAATTAATATTAAACAGCGAATCTTCTTGAGGAAATGCTTAAATTAATTTTGAAGGTGAGCTTCGTAATTGCCTTAAAATTCCGGCCCACGGAAGTAATCTCACTCATTAACCTTACTGTCAGACTTTTCCCACGTTCTTTCACTCACATCCATATCCATTTTAAAAAAAATATATTCATTTATTTTTCAAAATTTACAAATTATTTTACGTTCAAATTATTATTTAATTTTCGTAAGTTAAAATAGTATTATTTGCCCAGTAAGATCCAAACGGTTTTCTGAAGAAACGAATTACGAATATTGTTAGTTGCCTTGCCTGGCCAACTCATCGGAAAAATTTGAATTTCTGGGCGAAAAACCATCATCCCCAACAGCCACAACAAAGACAAAATTTAAAGTTGGTGTTTAGTTTTGAGGAGCAAACAGAGGACCCTTTGGTTTTGCAAAGAACAGAGCAGAAAAACAGAACAACACCATTCAACACCGAATTCCCCAATTTGTTACCATTTTTTCTCCTTTCTCTCTCCTCATTTTTTTCTGTGTCCGAGTCTGAGGAGGTTTGTTTCGCGCAACAACCTCAACCTCCTCGCTAACTCTTCATTCTAATCCTCGAAACTTTCGCTTTCAGTCATGGAAGCCCGCGACCTTCCTCGATTTGGCAAATGCACTTCTGGAGTTCGTTTTCGAAGATTGTGTTGATTGGCGCAACGAGGAAAATGTTCGTTTGTTCTTCTCACCCCCTTTCAACCTTATCATTTTCAAACCCCCAAAATATATATTTTTTTAAATTTTTATTAGCATTTTCCGCGCTAAATCCCCAATGGGTTTTTCTACTTCGTTCCTTTCGGGAATGCTTCGGTTGAATCAGGAGATGGGGCGGTGAAATCTCGATGTGGGTATGAAAATTTGAGGGAAAAGTTGTGAAATTTCTGTGAATTTTCTCAATTGAAGTTACCAAGATGATGTTATCAGCTTCGCCATCTACTCTAGCGAGGAGTTCGCTGGAAGAGATGCTTGATTCGCTTCGCCGGAGAGATGAGGAGGAGAAGCCGAAGGACTTGCCGCCAGCATTGCCGGCGCGGCCGCCGTCGAGGGCTCGGTTACCGCCGGCGAGACGTTCGTTGCCTAATAGCTTCAAGGTTGATGGTGAAAATGGAGGGAAAGACAAGGAAAACGGACATAGAAGGAAAAGTAGTTTTGGGAACAAGAAGATTAAGATGGATGTTGAATCCCCTTACGTGGTTATGTCAGAAGAGAAAGTGAGTGAACAATCATTACCGGATACTGTTTCAATGTCAAGTGATTCTTCTGCTGTTTGTGAAGCTCCTCCTCCATCTGGGGAATTCGAGGATGATAATGTTGCTTATTTCATCAAAAAGGTAATTGAGGACTGGATGGTTTTTTATAGTTGGTAATGTTGCTCATGGAGTCTTAATATTGGTTCTTCTTGTTTTAATCTCTTGACTTGTTTTCAGTTAATCTGCCTCTTTTTGTGTTGTATGTTTTCCAGTTAGAGAATGGAAGTTTTGGTGTTTTGATGAAAGCAATAAAATATCGAAGTTGGCGTTTAAAAATGATGTAATTGTGACACTGCAGCATAACCGTTTCAGAATTACAAATTAAAATAGGGTCAAATTTTGATTAACTTCTCAATACTTATGGGAGACAAAAATGAGGAAGTGAAATGAATCAAACTTCCCTATAGGTTAAGATTAATTTATCCGCTTTTACCTTTTTAGAATTTTTTTCAATTGACTTCTTCAAAACATAAGATGCACAAGTTGATTTTAACTTATGAGAAGGATTTTAGTTGTAAACTCTTTATTTTCTTTTTCTACAAGTACTTCTGCATAAACTTACCAAAACTGGGCCGAAGTCTACCTGTTAGATGAAGACGCTTGGTTATTTTTAATTTGAATTCTAAAGATATCAAATACATTTTTGTTATTTATTGACTAATACTTTAACTAGCTTTAACTTGTTTGATGTTCATACCAGCACCACTTTGTACTTCAGTAGGTTAATATTAGGTTAAATTGTTTGTGGCATGCCTCTTTCTAGCTCAGTTTTGTTTCGGTTTGTTGTTTCCCCAAAGCCTCCCTATTGGTTGATCATATAAACATAAAATATTATTTGATTGAAAGATATTCAAGTTCCTTTTAAAATTTTACTTGTTTGGAGCTTTTATCTATTTATATATTAGCTTATATCTTTTTTCTTTTGTCTATTAACCATTGACATAGTTGAGAGTTCAGACATTGTTTATGGCATGTTTGTGTGTGTTAAATTTCCTTTCTGTTTCTGTTTTTGGTTGTTTCCACAGAAACTTCATGTTTGGTGTAGGCAACCAAAAGGGAAGTGGGAACTAGGAACGATACAGTCAACTTCAGAAGAGGAAGCATCTGTTTCGCTCTCAAATGGAAATGTAAATTCTAAGCTTTTTGTGTCTTTCAAAGATAGTATTCATTCTTGAATATGCAAGGTTACAGGTCATTTGTACCATTTGAGTTGTTACTGCAGATGATGAAAGTAGCCAGATCAGAGCTCCTACCAGCTAATCCTGATATTTTAGAGGGTGTGGAAGATCTAATACAACTCAGTTATTTAAATGAGCCCTCAGTTCTTCACAATCTTCAGTTTAGACATTCTCAGGATATGATTTACGTATGTATGCTACTTTAGCTTGTTTTTACTGTGGGTGGTTATCTATGGACTCTCATATGCTGCGTGTGCTCTTTGTATGCAGAGTAAAGCAGGGCCAATTTTAATTGCACTCAATCCCTTCAAAGATGTCCAGATTTATGGAAACGATTATATCTCAGCTTATAGGCAGAAAACTATTGATAGTCCTCATGTTTATGCTATGGCAGATGCAGCTTATAATGAGATGATTAGAGGTCAATGAAATTCCATTTTTCTTTCTCATGGTTTGAAATCTGTATATTGTCATTGTATACCTGTATGATCATATTTATTAACACAAGTTATATATTGCAGATGAAGTAAATCAATCCATTATCATAAGGTCAGCACTCAGCACATTAGGCGATCTGTTTTGTGCATACCTCTTAATATATGTTTCTGAAATCTGTATCATTAAATTTTTATAGAATTAGAGGGTATAATCACTGGTATACTTGTTTACAGTGGTGAGAGTGGATCTGGGAAAACAGAGACAGCAAAAATTGCTATGCAATACTTAGCTGCTCTTGGTGGTGGCAGTTGTGGGATAGAGAATGAAGTTCTTCAGACAAATTTTATACTAGAAGCTTTTGGAAATGCAAAAACATCTAGGAATGACAACTCTAGCAGATTTGTGAGTTTGTGTTTCTTTTCATTGTAGTGAAACTTACTCCACCTGTTCTTGTTCTGCAAGATTTCTGTAGCAGATCTGTGAGTTTGTGGATTGTTTTCAATGGCTGAGCAGTGTAATTGAAATTAAGTATTTACTTTTGTGCAGGGGAAGTTGATTGAAATTCATTTCAGCATGATGGGGAAAATTTGTGGGGCAAAAATTCAAACTTGTAAGATTGTTCAAGTTAAATATGTTACATAAAATTGCCCTTTTCTGATATCTGTTTTTTTAGCCAATTTACTGACTTGGGTTATTCTTATGGTTTTGTGTCTCTCATGCCAATTCCCATATGCTAACTTGAATAGTTCTGTTAGAAAAGGTAACTTGTGACACCCTATTTGAACAGAAGTGTAAAACTTCAATATTTGTTATTCTTCACTTCTGAAACCATCTTGTCTCCTGTGGTCAGTCAAGAGTTGTTCAACTTGCCTGTGGTGAGAGGTCGTATCACATATTTTATCAACTTTGTGCTGGATCTTCATCTGATCTTAAAGGTGCATTTTCTATGCAATTATCTATTAGTTTGCTTACTTGTTTACATTTGTGCATGTTGAGATCTCAATGACCATCTTTGTGATGATGCATCTAAATGACTATTGACCCTGATCCTCCCAGTACTATCATCACTAAACATCTCCTCTGCCCTTTAATCTTATTTACAATTTTAAAATGGAATCATGATTTTATATGGAAATTCTTTGACACTAAGTTCTGCAAGCATATTGATAAATTTCCTCGTGTTGTGATTTCTTCATCAGCTTAGTTGGGCTTGTAAATACTATTACTTATAGATAATCATTTCTTTTCTTGTGCAGAAAGACTGAATCTTAAGGTGGCCAGCGAATATAAATATCTCAATCAGAGTGATTGCATGACAATTGATGGTGTTGATGATGCTAAAAAGTTTCAAAGGCTGATGGTATATTATTTGACAGTTCATATTGAACATTAGCTTCTTTAATTTTGTTTATGGCCTCCTAAACTCTCAGGTCATTTTTATCTCCTCCATCTGTGATTTTCTCCAGAAAGCATTGGATGTTATTCGAATGAGCAAAGAAGATCAAGAGCTAGTCTTTAAGATGCTAGCTGCAATATTATGGCTGGGAAATATATCATTCCAAGTTACTGACAATGAAAATCACATTGAGGTGGTGAATGATGAAGGTAAGTGTTAAGATTTCTTACATTAGTTAAGAATATGACCAAAGTAATCAATATAAGGGTAGGCAATTCTCCTTCATTAAGTTTGTTATTAGGGTTGAGTTAGGCCTAATTCATTTATGTCAGAATATACAAAAATTACATTTTGTTGAAAATATATACCTTATTTTCTTATGTGTGTGCTAATTCAGTGGCATTGAATGCTTAAAGTTAGCTGGGACTCACTTGGAATTCTGATCTGAAATAAATATATTTTGTTTTTAATTGTGTGGGACAGAACTATCCAGGGGTTCATATTGTCTCTGACTAACATTGTAACACAGGGTATATATGAAATTTCAGTTACTACTTGAAGGTGACTTTTGCTTTTATTTTTTTTTACAGCTGTAACATGTGCTGCTTTGCTAATGGGCTGCAGTTCCCAGGAGCTAATGGCAGCATTATCTACCCATAAAATCCAAGCTGGGAAGGATACTATTACCAAGATGTTGAACTTGCGGCAGGTCTGTTTGTTACTTAAACAATTCAATTATGTATTTTTCTGTCTCCTGATTTTATTATACTATTATATCCAATCTTTTATTCTATGTTCAGGCAATTGATGCAAGAGATGCATTAGCAAAATTTATCTATGCAAGCTTGTTTGACTGGCTTGTAGAACAAGTTAACAAGTCACTTGAAGTGGGTAAACGACGCACTGGGAGATCCATAAGTATCCTGGATATTTATGGGTTTGAGTCATTCCAGGTATGCAGTTTGTATTAGTGTGTTCATTCATTGATGCTTCATAGACTCTTTGTACGTGTTCTAACAGTTTATTATATTTCTTTGTAGAATAACAGCTTTGAACAGTTTTGTATTAACTATGCCAATGAGAGGCTTCAACAACATTTCAATAGGCATCTGTTTAAACTTGAGCAGGAGGTCAGTGACTATGTTATTTTAATTTGAATTTTTGAACACAATTGTCAATGTGTAACACAATTCCAGGAATTTTTTATATCTGCGCTTAAGATTGCTGCTGGGTACTTCGCTGCCTGGTATAATGGTATCTTTAATTTGAATGCACCAGTGTAATACAAATCCATGAATTTAATTTTTGTTCATTTAAAAAGTTTATTGCTACTGTTATCTTTTGGAAAAGAGACAATTTGGTGAACAATTCCCAAAATATTTGGCCAATATAGTACACAACTAAACTTATTAAAATTAGCTTGTCAAACTAAATTTCTCAGCACAAGCAACCTTTGAAGTACAAAATCATAATTCAGTTCAATTCTGAGTTCCTGACTTAGCTATCTGAATTAGCTTATTGTTTACTTCAGTAAATTGCCTCACTTAGTGATGATATCTTAGTGCTTTGAATAATTGAATTGGTTGTGAACCATTTAGTATCTTGTCAACTAAGGGCTCATTTTCTGTGTGTGTGTGTGTTTGAAAAAGAGGGAAAAATGTCATTGACTGAAGAAAACAATAATAATACAACTAAACAAGATGGGTTTTGTATCAGATGCTGTGTACATATTTTTTAATAGGCTTGGTATGCTTGACAGCAACATTGCAATTTACATATTTGTTTCAGGAGTATGAATTAGATGGCATTGATTGGACCAAAGTAGATTTTGAGGACAATCAAGAGTGTTTGGATCTCTTTGAGAAGGTATTTATGTGGTCTAAGATTTATAAAATTTTAGACATTTCCTCTTTTACTGAGCTGGAAACCAAGCCTTTTTTTAAATTATTTTTGTATTTTTTTTTCTGGACAATATGCTTTTCTCACAGCTGATTATTGTCGAAATCATATTATGCTCAGGTCCTAATGTTGCAGTTCACATTATTCTGTGTCTAATATTTTCATTATATACTTTGTTGCATAATGTGCAGAAGCCTCTGGGGCTACTCTCTTTGCTGGATGAAGAATCAAATTTTCCCAGGGCCTCTGATCTAACCCTTGCCAACAAACTTAAGCAGCACCTGCACACTAATCCTTGCTTTAAAGAGGAAAGAGGCAGGGCTTTTAGTATCTGTCATTATGCAGGGGAGGTTAGTAGCCATTCCGCAAGTCAATTCAATTTAATTGCTACAAAATCAACTTTGCAATAGCTTTTAAAGTTGAATTATTCCTAAATTTACTTGTTTAAGCTGTGTGTTCATTTTCAAAATATTGCACGCGCACATTCTATTGAGCATAAACCTGCTTCATGCTGATTTTGTATTGTAATTTTTGTCCTGTTTATATGAACTAATATAGTCATATACAGCATATGTTTTGTAAAGACCCTAGTTTTATAATATGATCATTTAGTTGTTTCTAAACATAATAATATATTTCTCTCTTCCTACCTCCTAAAGAACTTTGTTGAATTAGTTTTTTTCATTACTTGCAATACAATAATAAAACTGAATGTTGAGTTTTAGGCATTAGAAACCTTATGACATTAATATCATTCTGATATTAAACATGCACTTTTGCCTCTGGAGGAAAAAATGTTTTATCTGGACCTGTTTTTCCTAGCCCATTATGATAATTCCCGCTTTCTAATTGTCTCATAGTCATTTTGGTATATGTAGAATGCATACCATGGAAGTCAATTTTGTATTTGTTTGTGTTTCTGACTCTTCTAATATCTTGTCCTCTGTCAGGTTTTGTATGATACAACTGGCTTCCTAGAAAAGAACAGAGATCCAATGCCTTCTGATTCCATTCAACTACTGTCATCATGTAGTTGTGAACTGCTGCAGTTGTTCTCCAAGATGCTTAATCAGAAGCAATCAAATACTTTGCACGGAAGTGCTCTAGACTCTCAAAAGCAGAGCGTTGGTACAAAGTTCAAGGTATTCTTGTGGCATTACTAGAATGTTGAAGGAAATTATTGTAATGTTATTGATTTGTGCATGATTGTTGTGAATGATGAACTCCCCTAAAAATCATATGATTTAATAAAAGAGTACTAGGATTTTAGCCTTTAGGAGTATACTGAGAATGGGACACAAGAAATGTACCATTATTTGGGGTGAGGTAGGCCTAACTAGTCTCTTTCTTTTAGGGTCAATTGTTCAAGTTGATGCATCAGTTGGAGAGCACCACACCTCACTTTATTCGCTGTATAAAACCAAATACTAAGCAACACCCTGGAATATATGATGAAGATCTTGTGCTACAACAGCTCAAGTGTAGTGGAGTTTTGGAGGTTGTTAGGATTTCTAGGGCTGGATATCCTACTCGAATGACACATCAGGAGTTTTCCAGAAGGTAGTCAAGAAACCTCCTATTTTTTTTATTATCTTGAGTAACGTGTTGATTTATTTTCCTGCATATATTAGGTATGGGTTTCTGCTTTCTGAGGCAAATGCATCCCAGGATCCATTGAACATCTCAGTTGCTGTTTTGCAACAGTTTAACATCCCTCCCGAAATGTACCAAGTTGGCTTCACCAAACTGTATCTTCGAACAGGGCAGGTACATCTGAATGATTTTATGTTTTCTCTTCTCAAACTTGCACTATAGCATATATTTAGAGTATTTACTTTATTGAGTTTAAATGCTGAAGGGCCATAGTATTTTGAGCTGGGCCATGATGATCAGGGTGGCAGTTAGGTCCATTATCCATGATCTATACATATCTAAATCCATTCCTATAGCATCAATTAGTTAGTTGCTGATGTTTGCTAGTTTGTTGAGCTGAGATAGAGAAGAATTAAGGCAGATTGCCTATAAATAAGACAAGAGGTTGTGAGAGAGGGATATCTTGTCATTTAGAAAGGATGAATTCACTGAGTACTATTGTAATTCACTTAATACACATATGTCACTTTTCATAATCTATTTTCTCCATTCTCTTCTCAGTCCTGGTATCAAAGCACTTATTGTCATAGTGCAAGATTACCTTTGGAGAATATTCTTGAAGGGGTCCAAGGATGAGGTAAGAGCAGAACACACGATTGGCACAGATGGTTCCTTGTTTGGGGAGAGGTTGTTATCTGAATAGATGGCCTTGGTACAGCTTGTAGATGAATATTCTGAGGTAAATGAAAACAGAAGATCAGGGTTCTAGGGTTCAAGATAACGAAAGGAAAAAGGAAACTTTGGAGATTTTGGGTAACAAAGGATAGGTGGAAGTGTGGAAGAAGGATAGGGAAAAAAAACTTCAAGGGTCTGAACTTCCCCATGCCCAATTCTCCACAAATGACAATATACAACCTCTCGACTTATTTATGGGCAGTCTACCTTAATTCTTCACTATCTCAGCCGAACAAACTCATAAATATAGACAACGAATCAACTCTAAAACACTAACATATATTGACAGAGCTAACTGATATCTAACGCATATATTCTGATCCTTTAAAGGGATTAATGTATGCCTTGGATCCATCAATAAAACTGGTCATGGATGAGTTGGATGCTTTTAGGAATTTTTAAATAAATTCTAGAACGAGTTTTTGGTTTCTTTGTATCCATTCATTACAATCCAATCCATTCATTTACCACCCTAGTGATGGTTGACTCGATTTGACATGTCAGGTGACTCAATTTATGGTTTCTAGTTATTAACTATTTGTTTCTGAGCTACAATTTTGTGTGCTCAGAAGAATATTCAATTATATGTAAAGTTTAATTGTCTTGTTTTAGATAGATTTTATATTAATTCGTGTAGTGGTTTCTCTGATTTAATTTTTCATGTGTTCCGGTTGATTTTATAGATCGGGGCACTGGAAGACAGGAGAAAACAGGTTTTGCAGGGAATACTTGGGGTTCAAAAATCCTTCCGTGGTTATCAAGCTCGTCGTTATTACCATGAACTTAAGAATGGAGTGACTGCTCTACAATCATGTAATGCCAGGCTTTATGCACAATTTTCTATATTTTTTAGCAGATTTTTCAAGTTTATTTTTCATAAAATTGTATTTGATATTAAACCAAAATGAAACCTTGATGTTTTTTTTTCTTCTACTTTTTAAAATGCGAATTGGAGGACATCATTGAAAAGTTTTTAAAAAACTTTATTCAACAAATTCTTATTGCAAGTGATGGGCTATAAACCTTGGTTATAGTTTGTATCTGTAACTTAAATGTTAATTTGGTTATTATGTAGTTGTTCGTGGAGAAATTGCAAGAAGGAAATATGGTGTTATGGTGCAGTCTTCTTTGGCTATTGCTTCTGAAAAAATTAAGAAGATAGAGGCAGTCATAGTACTACAATCTGGTTAGTGTGTTTCTGTTATTGACAAGTTTGTCCATTCCAACGACATTGAATATGGTTTGCTTATTGTTCATTTTCTTTTTGTGTAGTAATTCGTGGGTGGCTGGTTCGAAGGCATGCAAGTGGCTTGAAGAAGGTTAAAAAATATCCTGAAAATGCAAAATCTAGGCAAAAGTCTCGGGTGAAGATGCCTGAAGTAAAGGTAATTTACTATTCACTTTTTCAATTTAGAAAAATGCAATAAGATTGTAGAAAGTAGCAACATTAAGATTTCTTGGCTTGAATATTTAAGTATATGATAATTTATAGCCCCATGTTCGGCATGACAATTGATTTTCTCTTTTTTAATTCTTAGGAATGGATAATATACATCTATATCTTTGGTAGGACATAAAAGTGCATAAAATGAGATTCTCATTAAAATAGTGAGACGGATATAATTTTTCTGGATCTTTTCATATTTAATAAATTAAAGTGGAGTAATGCTTGAAATTGTTCATTATGTTAAATATATATCAACGGATTTTTGCTCAAGTAATTTTATTATTCAATTGGTTGTTTTACTGAACATCATACTAGCCTTTTCACTGAAACACCATCAAGTACTTGTTTGCATGGTGGTCAAAAACTTAATCGGCCCCCACCTTAAGCATATTTTATTACTTTCTTCAGAAGCATTCAAAGCAAGTCCTCCTTTTGGAATCATTTTGTCAAGGATATAGAATGCTAAGCTTCATGACATTTTTAAAGTTCCCAACCAATCAATAATGTAAATATTATTTTTTTGGTTTTGCAGGATGTGTCCAATGAGCGGGTCCAGAATCTTCCTTCAGCTTTAGCAGAACTCCAAAGGCGGGTTGTCAAGGCTGAAGCTACAATAGAGCAAAAGGAAGAGGAAAATGCAGAATTGAAGGAACAGCTAAAACAATTTGAGAGGAGGTGGATTGAATATGAGAAAAAGATGAAATCGATGGAGGAGATGTGGCAAAAACAAATGGCATCTTTGCAAGTAAGTTTAAGCTCAGAGAAATTCTCAAGTTTTGTCATACTCATGAATATTATTGCAGTGGATGAAGTTGATTGATCTGATCAAACTAAACTTTTCACTAGATCATTTTGCTTTGGCCTCCTCAAACAAAATGCTCAGTGTTTCCTCTACTCCTCCATAACCAAATAACTGCACTTTTAATCATTTTTGTCAGTCTTTTTAAAGAAGAGTTAACAGGAACTGCTGAGCTAGTTTGTTATTTAAATAGATCTTGCTTTGCCTTTCATAGCTGATAAGAAAAAAAAATAAATTCATACTCAGAAATTAATTTGTTGATGGTGCCGGCGGTGATTTTCTGATTTTCTATAAGTCTGTTGTAACCTTATTTGCTATATAATAAGTCCAATGCATAAATAAATGGTTTTAAATATAACTTCAATTATATAGAAGATTGTGATGGCAATTTCAATGCAGACGAGCCTTGCTGCTGCTAGAAAGAGCCTTGCATCTGAGAATGCCAGTGGTCAACCTGCAAGACACGATGCTGCAACACCTTTTGGCTATGATTCTGAAGATGCCACTTCCATGGGATCTCGAACGCCTGGTGCGAGCACACCTTTGAAGTATTCTAGTAGTCTTTCTGAAGCAGGAGTTGGGAGAGATGCTAATGGTTCTTTGACTTCAGTCAGCAACCTGATGAAGGAATTTGAGCAACGCAGACATGCCTTTGATGACGATGCCAGAGCTCTGGTTGAGGTTAAAACAGGTCAATCTGCTAACACGAATTCTGTTGAAGAACTCCGGAAACTCAAACATAGGTTTGAGGGGTGGAAGAAAGAATACAAGGCTAGATTAAGAGAAACAAAAGCAAGAATTCATAAATTAGGAAATTCAGAAATGGATAAAAGTCGACGAAAATGGTGGGGGAAATTGAGTTCTAGAGCATCATAGCATTCTGTTTTCAAATGTTCTCTTTCCCAAAAGTGTATAAAAGGTGAGAAGATTATCAAAAATGGTGAAATGCTTGTTGTCATAAACTCTCTCATTTTGAAGAGTTGCTACTTCTAAGTGTTAATGTTACTATCTGGTGAAGGGAAAAAGTTGTATATGTACCAATTTTGTTACATGGGGAAAATTGTGTATACTTGTAGACTTTAGGTTGCATAGTTGTATTAGAAGTCGAGTTTGGTCATGTATACTGATGAAATGTAAAACTTAGCCTCAAGGATATAAATAGTTAAAGTGTTGATAACATCAATCTAATTGGAACAAATTTCTTATCCTTTTATGTCTTCTTTTCTTAGAGGTTCAACTTTTGGTGTCTGTTTTGATGTCCATCATTGCAGTTCTGATTAAATAAGAGTCTTAATTAACATACTATCATTTTCGCTTTGTCATTGATCTTTTCTAAAATCTAATGAGAATTAAATAATAGTTGTTGTATTGTTTGGTTCAAGCTTACAATTTATTATGTATTAAACTTAGTGTGATAAGATTTTTAGTTTCTTAAAAATTCATTTTTTTATTTGGTCTTCTGTTTTAATTTATGTTCAATGAGTCTCAAAATATTTTTCTTTATCATATGGTCCTTTTGTATTTTGTTTTTCATTTGATATCATGAAATATCAAAAACTTTTTTTTAGTCTTCAAAAATATCATAGTTTATTTGGTTCTCCAAAATGGGAGATCAAAAGGAAGTATGTGACATTCAAAGGAATTAAATAGGAAAAAAAGAAAAGAAAAAGGAAGTAAATGAAGAAATCGTTTGATAGCAAAATACGTTTTATGAGGAATTCATTATAAAATATACAAAATGAGGGGCCTAATGAAAAAAAATCATGAATTTTGAGAGATGAAAAATTTAGTTAAGCCATTAATTTCTTTTTGAAAAACATAAAACAAAGTAGTATGACATGAAATTTATGATTAAACAAAAAAAAATGTAATGAAAGATGCAAATAACTTGATCTAAACAGTAGAAAAATAAATAATTGTCAAAGATTGTGTACTATAAATAATATGATATTTAATCATCACAAACGTGAGAATTAAATGACAATCTAACTATATAAATATATAAAAATTCAGACAAGAGCTATACAGATGTCACGTTAAATTCTTCATCTTTTATTTTTAAATCACATAAATAAACTCCAAACGTTCTTAATTTTTCTTTCCTTCTCTTTTTCACTCCTCACTTATATCTCATGATACATCAATAATTAATAACAATTTATGATGATTATCATTTTCTTTGTTACTGTTGACATTTTACTATCTCAACACTTTCTTACAGCTCATTCCATTATTTATTGTAATCACTGATTAAATCCTTATTTGCTTTTAAGTTAGAAAGCGATCTCCCAATTTTTTTTTCATTATCATGATTAAGAAGCCGTACAACATGCTTCTATTAACAATATATTTCCTGAGAGATAAAAGTGAGTTTCTTAAACACAAGAAATTTGTAAGGTTTTAAACTTCATACAGTTAATTGAACTGAACAAAACCTTAAAATGGTTAACTGTTTGAAATTGAAACAAAACCATTAAATAGAGTGAACATGCATTTAACATCTAAAAAATATTTTAATTTTTTAAAATTTAAGTGATTTTAATAAATACTATTTTTATTCTTTAATATATGCGCACTTGTAACCCTTTTAATAAATAAAGATATGTTAAAAAACTACAAAATAGTTAACTTAATGTTTACTCCAACATAAATGCATTTTGTATCCTAGTAGTTTATCTTAATTTTATTTTTTTAATACAATCTTAATATTAGTTTTGATTCTTACAGTCTTATTTTTTTTAATCTATTGATCAGTATAATTTAATTTAATTTAATTTAATTTTTGGTCCCTATTGTTTATAAAACCTTGGTTATAATGGTTGTCTCTTTAAAGATACATGCGGTGAATAAAAAATATATTTATAAAATTGAAAGACTAAAAAATTAAGATAAGCTATGAAATAAAAAGTATATTTAAACCTTAAAAGGTGTAGGAATATTCTCTATTATTAGTTTTTTTTAAATCTATAATATTATGATTGGAATTCATTAAATAATAAGTGAAATCAGATAATTTTATAATTTATAATAAATTTTAACTAGTAATAAAAACGTTTTAAAAGTATATTAAAAAATATATTATTAGTATTTCTTTTAAACTTATTCAATTCTTTTCGCCTTTACTGCGCACCAAATTTGCTCTTAGCATTTGTCAAAATGACCAGCTTGCATTCCTTTAATTTTAGTTTTTTTGTTAGAAGTTAATGAAACTATATGACAGCCACTTAGGACAGCCAAGCATATTCCTATTGAACCTTTCTCATTGGCTGGTTTAAACATTAATCAATACTAGATTAACATGGGATTTCCGAGGTTTAAAATGAACCCTAGTCCATAAAAAGTACACTAATCCGACAATTATATAATGTTCATAATCTACACATAAATCACCATGTCTCAGCATCATTCACACTAAGGGAAGTGAAGTTTTAAGAACCGGGTGCAAACTTGGTGGCATAGACCCATGCATTGTTAGCCACAGGATTGTCAAGGTGATCCAAAAGGTTCTCCAAAGGGCCTTTTCCAGTGACAATGGCTTGAACAAAGAAACCAAACATGGAGAACATAGCTAACCTACCATTCTTGATCTCCTTCACTTTGAGCTCAGCAAAAGTGACAGGGTCATCAGCAAGACCAAGAGGGTCAAAGTATTGACCCCCAGGGTAGAGATCATTACCCTCTCCAACCCCATCAAGGCCATTGATGCGGTACCCTTCAACAAGACCCATAAGAACAACTTGGAAGCCTAACACTGCCAAGATACTTTGTGCATGAACAAGGTTTGGGTTACCCAAATAGTCAAGCCCTCCTTCTGAGAATATTTGAGCTCCTGCTTTGAACCACACTGGCTCTTTGAAGTCCACTCTAACCCACTTCTCTAGCACTTCTGGGGTGATGCATCCTAGTGCTCCAAGCATAGCCCAACGCCCATGGATCACCTTATTCCACATAACAATTTAGTATATTCATTGGAAACAACTTTTGGTATTCCATGAATATGTAATCCTTTCATTAGAAAATATGACACTTGACATATATAATTTTTTCTTTTAACTTAATTAGAATACATCAATGATGTAAAAAAAAGTGTACTGATATTCAATTATAAAAAATTATTATATCATTAAGAATTATTAACTTTTATAATGATTATTTTAAAAATCATACATCCGATATTTTGTAGTATAAAATTTTTTACACCAACATTATATAAAAATTAAATTCTAGTTTTTCCTTTTTAAAGATTTTATATATATAAATAAATAAATGTCAAATTAAAAGTAGTAACTCTCAAAATTAAGAGTAGTTACTGCAAGACAAATCTGTTCCCTTATTACCATTTGTCTCCCTTTGACAAATGATATAAGCCCAACATGAAATGAAGAAGAATCTTATTGTAAAAGAGTAATTGGAGTTTAGAACCTTAAGATTATTTTTATTTATATTAAACAAATTTGAAAAATATTTTGAAAAAGAAAGAACGATTATGTTGCAGTGTAAGCATAAAAACACAAACCTCAAGAGCCCTGTTCCTGGCAAAAGCTTCTGGGTCAGCAGATAAACCAGCAGTGTCCCATCCATAATCACCTGGGAATTCTCCCTTCAAGTACGAAGGGGTCTGAGCTGAAAAGGGTCCCAAGTATTTCACTCTGTCAGGTCCATACCATAATTCATTGCTCTGCATGTTTACAAACACACAACAAATACTAAAAGTAAAGTCGTTGTTACACTGAGACAAAGTGAAGAAGGGTGTTGGAGAATGGAGAGTACCATGGTGTATTTCCCAGTTCCCATGGCTACAACATCCCTAAGAGGGTTGGCATTGTTGCCCTTTCCTTGGCCAAGGAAAGGACTTTGTTTGATAACAGTGCCAGAGCTTGCTGTGGCTGCCATCAACGTTGCTGCCATGATTTCCAAGCTTTCAGGTGCTTCTTCACTTTCAAAAAAAGAAGCTAACAATTGGTTCTATAGAAATGTGTCAGAAAGGGTGAGTGTAACAATAATATGTAATGAAAGAGCATCAGAGGAATGTGTGGTTAGAAAACCCAAGTGAAAGTTGGTGGTGGGGATGGTGTGGTTTGGAACAACCAATGAGAAGGCTTTAAAGGATTTTATGTATCTCCAACTCATATCTTTCTATCCACATTTTATCTTTGTCCATCAAATCATTTGTCTATTTGTATTCAACATATCCCATATTTTTTTAGACCTTAAATTTGGAATTACGGTGGCACACCCACCTTAGGTCTAACACTTCTATCACATATTAGTTGAATCAAATATCTTTCTAACCGTTAATAGTTTAGAGAATAAATCTAGATTTGAGAATAAGGGAAACATCGGCATCAATATCAAATGGTTATATTTTGTTTTTTTTATCGATGGTACGTTGGTTATCTGACACGTTGCAGTGAAGGCATCCTTATAATTTCCACTAATTGTGAGGTGTAAAAAGCGTTGATGTTTAAAATTAAAACGCAGTGGTAAAACCAAGACATTATTAATGGGTCATTCACAAAACAACATCAAATTTTGCGGTGAGCGTGGATCGAACACCCGACCTTCAGATCTTCAGTCTGACGCTCTCCCAACTGAGCTATCCCCGCAACTTTGGGAATTCGGCTTACTGCGTTTATTTTAATGGATATAATTCATTGTCACCAAGAAAAATATCTCAATATTAAATTCATTGTTTTCGACTAGCAAGAGATTCAAAACGTTGTAAATAAACGAATAAATGTCTATAATTGTATCCAGTTAAAAGAAAAAGAAACATGTTATTGATGAAGCAATTTGAGAAAAATCACGATTACATGTGAGAAGTTATCTGAGTAACATCAATTCTGCAAAGTCAGCATACCATATAATTGCTAGACCTGTAGCGGGAAGTTGCTGTCCTTAAATCACTTCGTTTAGTAATGCTATATAAGAATCCTTAATTTCAGGTTCTAAATAGAAGTTAATAAAATAAGTTAAAAGAACTTATTAAAATAAGTTAAAAAACCGAAAAAACTACAAATCATTCATAAATATAAATAAGCTTCACAAAACTGATTTTTTTACTTTTTCTTTTTCTATTTCAGATTGTAATTTTTTATATTGATTATCTAAATATTAAAAATCCAACCGCCGATCTACTTATATTTTGATGTATTGTATTATTTGTTAAGCTCATATCAGTTAAATAATTTTATCATCCAAATAATTTTATCATCCAATGACAACAATAACCAAAGTTTTTTGGTACTAAATAAACAGATTACACGAAAAACACTAATCTTTAACGAGTTTATTTTTGGTCTAATTTTTAACGAGTTTAATCAGGATTGTTCCTGCCTTTTCTTTATATTCAGGTACTAGGCTCTTATCAATCTCATATACTGGCTCGTTAACCTTTTGAACCGTCTTAAGAATAATTTTACCATATTTTTCTCATCAAGTGTCACTCCTACTTCCTTTGAGATATATTTTCAACTTCAACTCTTTTTATATGAAATTAACGTACACTGACTTTAACTCTTATTTTTATGATTCTTGTTGACACGATCGCCTAACACTTGAATTCCATAAAACATCAATGTTCTTATGCTTATCTAGTAAATTTCCTTATTAGTTTTAGCAGCACCTTGCCATTACAATTAACATGAAATATTCCTTAATTTAATCTACCAGTTTGAATTCTTTGCTAGTCATATTTATTTGTCATTTACCCAAAAAAATTTGGCCACGAGATAATATGCTTTGCTTCAGGACATGTTTGTGTGATACGTAAACGAAAGAAAGTAATCATACGCTCCTACTTCACTTCCTCTCTCACATCATATAAACTACTTGCTACAAATGGAATGGCTTCATGACCCCTGAAAAAAAGGATAAGAAAAATAGATACGTATGTATTCAGCCTAACACAACGCTGTGGAAAGCTGCAGAACCCATTCACAACAAGGTTCGTTTCTGTCTCTTCATGTACCAAGGCCATCATATAATATTACATACTGCACTCTGCTGAACAGTGCATCTTCGAATCCAGGGCAAGACGTTACTAAACTACTGGCAGACTCATCCAATTTTTTGTACTAAAAAGCAATGCAGTATTGCAGTTAATGATTCATCCCGTGACACTATTTATCTTGTAATCAAGGCCTGTAGAAAGTATCACATATAACCGACTGTTCACTTTCTTAGAGCTCCATAGCTTTTAGCCACCTAGCAACAAAAGAAAGGGCTCAGCTCCATGCAATTACAGAGGTCCAAAAATGTTACAAATCAGGAAGTACATTGTCGAAAAAGAAGATTCCAATATCAACCAGAGCTGCATGTATTACTAGAACGACATCAGAGATGAATATTTACCTGGCAACATGATTGAGATGATGTACAAGCTTAAAACATAGCAGACCACTATGTCACCGATCAATTATTTTCAAGTAATTTTAACATCTAATTATATTCATATAGGCGAATAATTTAGTTTGATATAAAGAAATTGCCAGTAAATATTTGGTTTGCTAATACCAGTTGAAGAAATTTCAGAAAGGCATATATCATGGTCGCTATTTCCACCCAAGCGTAACTGAAATCCTTCTGCTCTACTTTCTAGAAGTACTATTGGTAGGTAGCATAACAAGTGTTGACAGAGTAAGTGGAAAAGGACACTATATGGATCACCATCTATTCAAGCATATGTTTTAAATGGGAAAAATATATGTCCATATATCCTATCAGAAACAAGTGAAGAATAAAAAGGATACAAACCCGAGGTTGAGACTTATTTAATCTCTTTCTAACATCATCGTCATCGTCATCATCATCGTTATTCATGAGCATTCTATGGATTGAAGAGTTCTCTGATTTCCTTCCACGTTTAGAAGACTGTGTAGATCCTCTACCTCTTCCTTTTGAAGCAGCCCTCTTCCGGCCAGGAAGCTTGGACTCATTTTCCTGTGCAATATAAGATGTAGTAGATTTAACTAATTAATCATTGAGCATGTCAAGGATGCTTCAGTGAAAAATTACAAAATTAAAGCATGCATAAAACTGTCAGGTTACAGGTAGCACACTGCCAATACTTCATATTTGAAGGTATTATTACAAACTAAGGAATGCAACCCGGAAGGAATTAGCTTGATCCATACCGAACTATCATCAATCTCTTCAACGGCATTTTTATTGGCATCATCACTTGAAGCAGAAACCAAATTATCCTCATCCGCACCACTTTGGATGGCAGTTGCTGCAGCAACTGATGCAGACCTGCATTAAGAATGGAATCATGATGAATACCTATACATGGTCAAGGCACCCGTCAGTGAAATATGAAAGTGACTTTATTTTGTATAAACCCGTCAATGGAGAAAATTAATCTTTCTTTAAATTATTTTCATGCCTGTGATACCTCGTCCACATATATACAGCAACAATGATGCATGGAGCAACATAGAAGTCAGATATCAGAATCAATGAATCACAGTTCCTATTAAGAAAAGAAAATAAATATCCTGAGATGGGACAACTGAGTAAAGCTAATATCTCCACTTTGGTTGATACTGTACCTGTTTTTCTAGTCTTTAAGAGAGACCAAATTCATTGACAAAATTTTCCGACATAATGGCCCTGAGGTGTATATTGGCCACTTATAATAAGTTACAAAAAAGAAAGGGGGGATATTCTGCCCCCTAAGACATGTTTATTCAATTAGAAAGTAAAAAAATAAATTAAAAAAAAAATAATTTTTTTTTTATGTAAGTTTGAGTCATCGTCACTTCCATGTCCCTTCTGCATTTACTTATGCTGCACAATTCAGAGAAGCTACTGAATGATTAATTTATCAACAAGGAAAGCAACCTCTGAGAAAAGCGTAACCCCAAAGCTCCATCAAGAGTTGTCTGCTTCAAGTTGCTAGAACCCCTGCCTCTGCCCCTGCCCCTGCCCCTTCCTCTGGTTGGTGTTTGAGATGCACCAGAAGACCCTTTTCCACCTCTAGTGCTTGGCTTCGAGCTAGATATTGGCATGGCATCTTCATCATCACTAAAAGAAACGGCACTTCCAGTTCCTGCAGCACTTCTGCCTTGGAAATTCTACATGGAATTAGAGAGACACTAAGAATGAAGGTCATGGATAATAATATTGCCAGCCCAAAAATGGTTTTCCATCACTATTTCAATGGTAAGTATCATGCGTGAGATATACCTCCCATGACTGAGTACCAGCAGTGAGCTGTGTGGGTTCCTTGGTATGTACAGATCGTTCCTTGACACGTTCCTAGAACAAAAGAGAGAACCAACGAAGTCATTTAATGAAACTTACATGTATGTTCCATGCATAAAACCATTGTGATCACATGGCTATGCATTGTAAAACATATAAAGACCCCAATAATTGCAAATGAAATTCTGATCAATGGAGGTGCCAAAGGAAATAGGACACTGTTGTTCCTAGATTATCTGCAACTGCTATCATGCTATTTCATGGAAGCCTCAGTAATAGGAAGGCTTTCCCATCAGGCAAAGTGAATTTAAAACCTAAATACATAGAAGATTATTTGATATCTAAATTAATGAATAATGAACAACAATGATGAAGCTTCTAACCTCCAAGCATTCTCCAACTTTAACAATTAAATTTTCCTCTTCAAACTTCAGATTATCCGAATCCTTAGCAATTTTATTCTGTATAAAGCATGAAAGTAAATCATCAATGAGAAAAGGAAGGACAATGACATAAACAAGAAAACATACTAGAATAAAAAGAGACAATGTACTCAATCTTAGAAGGCTGTGAAATACAATATGAACTAGCTGTTCCAACATAGCTGCATCATATAAAATGGCAGATAAATGCAAAATAGCATGCTCACCCTTGTTTCCTCAATGTTGTATTGTACACAAGAGTAAAATGCCATTTTATCATCCTTGTTCACAAAATTGTGCAATGCAATATCCAAATCATTGACTGGCAATATCTCCATTTTCTGCAAAACAATTAAGACAGACACATTCAAAAATAAAATTAAATTGAACTAACATTCTTCTTATATTTATATTCCTTTTCAGTGAAAGCTCCAGTCAGTCCAGAA